ACGCTCATGGTCTAGGGCCCATCAACTTGCATAGCCCATACATAAGGGTGGCAACTCCTCAATGCGTAGGGCCTGCATGACTATGTGGTTGCTACATAAGGTTATATAGTGCACCTGCCCATGGTCTTAATATATCATGTGCACTTGATAATATTATGGGCAAGCCTTCACAACTAGGGCAAGAACAATAATGTGGGCACAATCAGGAACCCGATTCCACAATGACTCTAATATCAATGTCGGAATTAACCGGTCCAATGGCCGAATTGAAAGCAAAATAATCAATTGGGAACTGAGTATCATAGTTGAGTGCTCGTAAAACGATTTATGATGGACGAATGTGGAGAGGAATGATCAGCTCATGTAGGGACGTCTAACAACTACTAGAGCTGTCGAAATCTATTCCACACCTCAATCCTGAGCAAGGTGGAAGCTCACAAATACTCAAACAAATGCGGTATGAGGAGCAGTCCAAGCTCAACTCTTGTGCACAACTCTATCTCTTAGGGTGAAGTATCTTCTTAGAACTCAAATGGATATGACTTACACTCTCTCTCTTACTTTATCTTTCTCGAGAGTTTAGCTCTCACACTTTCCCGTATGTATTATAGTATGTAGAAACCTCGACCCCTCTCCTTTTTATAATGAGAATGATCATCTCATTAATGTGGAAGTAACCTCCTCATAAATAGACACCCTTATGATGCATGGCGCATGCCATTCACGGGAGGGTAACCTCCTCATGAAGAGGTGCAATATCTCTTACCTCTCTTAATGTAGCAACATAAGTCAAACATGAAGGGGGTGTGGTCCACTTGGGTGTACCCTTACACTAAGGATGCACCATCATGTCTACACATTTTTTAGCATCCTTATCTTAGCTACACTCATTTTATGGACATGCATGCTTTTTTACATGTGTATTAAGTGCATTAAGCATCAAAAGAAAATAAAGAGTTACTTTAAATTTAAAATAAAAGTAATAAATAAATAGAGATGAAAACAGTGATTGATAAATCTATAAGATCTAAAATCATATAAAAAGGTCTCTTAAAATAAAATTACTAAAACATGAATGCTCAAAGTTAAAAGTGTGCCTACACGCAAAATGGCTATATCCATATATCACTTGTTGCAAAATGTAAAAAAAAAAAAACACACAAATTTGCTAGTAGTAAAATGCAAAATTATAAAAATAAGATTGAATGATAAATTACATGCTATAATCATATCAAAATAAAAAATTACACAAGATAATCAAAATAAGATGCTAATAAAAAATCACTTGAATTAATATACGTTTTAAGTCTCCGCCACTATCGCATTGTATTTTCTCCCCTTATTTATCCAATAAAGTGACCTAAAATTCTCTTAGTTTTTTCATTCTGGCCCATAAGAAATTACCTCTAGATAGATGCTTGAAAGGCATTTATAGCGCCAAAAAAGAAAAAGAGAAAAAATAAGGCTTTTTATAATCGAATCATCATGTGATCCAAGTCAGAGTCAAAGACATGCTGCAAAAGGTGTTTAAACTACGTAAAGGTGCCTTGCATGAGGAAATTCAATGAATTTATCATCCAAAACAATCAAATTGAAGTTCGCACCGATGAAGCAAATTTCACCTGGTCTAGCCACTCTGTGCTTCACCACTCTCTAAGTTAGATCTTTTTTTTTATATATCTGCCTTGGTAGACAACTTTTCTTATTTTGAATTGTAAAAGGTCTTCCTAAGATGTCTGCAAATCATATTTTCCCTCCTCTTATAGACCGACAGCCCTAATTATGGACCGTGCCCTTTCCAATATTTGAAAACATACATTCTCCAAATATTGTGAGAGAACATTGGGCAACAAGAGATGTATTCGGCAATTTAGGGGTAAGATTGGATAAGAAATTGAGACTCATGAAATATAAACTCCAAGACTGGCACCATAAATCTCCGGGGAATATCATAGATGAAACTAATTCTATAATGGAGTATAGACACCCCCTCAAAATTCTAGTTGAGAGAATTTCTAAAAACCTCGATTATGAATCTAAAAGACCTCACAAATTTTAGTAGATTATAGGCAACCCAGACCCAATATAATTGTCCCAAAATTTTTCAAAACCTATATCAAGTTGAAGTATTCCCCGTGAGCTTTCCAAATGTTAAAGAATCACCAAAATCGGACCTACGGTTAAAAACATCTAGAAAATGATAATTTGGACCCTGCGTGACCCTGCAACTGTCAGGCCGCAGGACAGGCCGTGTTGTGATGTCTTGCTGGCCCAGGTACGGCCTGATGACACAAAAAATAGAATTTAATTTAGATAAATCCAAAACAAATCCAAAAAAATTGGGAAAAACCTGAAAGAAAAAAATACTCAAACATAATCCTAATTGAACTAGGAGATTCCCTATTAGAAATCCTTAAAAATACAATACAATTAAAAAATACCCCAAAAATACCTAAAATTAGGAAAAAGACTTTAAAAATTCCAAAATAAAAAGAAAATTCCCAAAAATTCTCAAAAAATCCCAAAAAATCCAAGAACCTAGATTCTACCTAACATAAGGAGATCCCAAAACCTTAAACAACGAAGGAAAAACCTTAAACAACGAAGGAAATTTTCTTCCAATATTAAGAAAAGCCTAGGTAAACCCTACCTAAAATTCTCAAACTTTTGCCCCTGCCTTAGAAACCCTAGATCTAAGTCAAAAGAATATTAGATCTACCAATTTAATAAGCAAATGCATCCAAAAAGGAGATGGTGATGCAAATAAGAAGAATGGCCTAATCTAAGCTCGAAACTCTGGGTTTTGGGTCCCTAGAGCTAATTATTTATTTATGTACTTAATTTATTCTATTAATTTAAATTATTTGTTTTATGAACAACAATCTATTATTAGATTTAATTAAAATTAATAAGCATTTTAAGTCAAAATACGAATTTGTTATCTATATATATATATATATATATATATATATATAGAAATACTTCAATGCTATAG